CGCGCGCGGCGTCCGGTCGTGGGCCGACGTGCCGACGTGCCGCGCCGCGCGGAAACCAAATCTTCAACCCGACTTCAATGTGAGCGTATTCGACTGTTTTGACACGAGCTCTTCGGCTGGGCGTCGAGAACTCGACGAGAGCGATCGATCCGTCCAAAAATCAGCCGAATCGACTTCGATGTGACCGAGCGAGAGAATTCTCAAGTTTGGTCAAGACCACCCAAACCAGTGGTTGGTTTCCACGCAGGTGCCGCGGCGCCGTCAAGGTCGCCGAGGCGGCCGCGTGCCGCGTCCACGGCGACGCGTCCTACTGGCCGGCCCTCGCGCTCCTCTTCGACGAGGCGCTGGGCGCGCTCGTCGGCGAGCCCGCGTGGCTCGCGAACGCGGGCTGCGAGTACGACCTCCTGTCGCTCTGTCGCGCGGTCTACGTCGCGCTCGTGCTCGCCGCGGACCCGGCGCGGCTCGGCCGGCCGCCGCCCGCGCCGCCGCGCCACGACGGGCCGCGCCGCGCGCTCCTCGCGCTCCCGGGCGTCGGCGCCGCGCCCGTCGCGCGGCTCGAGGACGACCTCCGCGCGGTCGCCGCGCACAAGGACCAGAAGAACGCGTTCCACGAGCTCGTCGTCCTCGCGCTCAACGCCAAGCCCCGGGCCGACGACGGCGGCGGCGGCCCCCCGGGGCCCGCGCCGCCGCCGCCCGCGGGCCGCCGCGTCGACGCGTCCTCGCTCCGCGGCGCGACGCCCGCGGTCCTCGACCTCCCGGGCGACATGGCCGGCGCCCGGAAGCTCGTCCCGGCCGCCGACGGCGGCGGCCTCGGGGCGCCGAACCTCGCCGACCTCTTTAAGGACTAGTCCGCGGCGGACCAGGGGCCGCGCCACTCGCCGCCCTCAGAGGCTCGCTCGCCGCGGCTTCAAGCACTCAACACTAGTGTCAAGTCCGACTCGTCACGTAGGAAGTTGAAGTCATCTGGGTCCGTGCATTCCACCGAACTGGAATCTCGACGAGATGGTGAGCTGCCCCGGCCTTCTCGAATCCCGATAGATGGTGAGCTTCCCTAACCTTCTCGCGTTCGCGCTCGTCGCGGTCGCCAACTCGCGAAAGATCTCTCCGAAAGAGCTGCAGCGCCGGGAGCAGCGGAAGCGAGAGCGGGAAGGGCTGCGCGGGCCGGCGGCCGAGCAGGCTCTGCAGGACACTGCGCGCACGCAAGCGAGCCCCGCCCTGCGCCTCGAGACGCAACGCGCCGAGCTCGAGGAGCGGCTCGCCGAGCTCGAGACGCGGGGCGCCGCGCTCGCCGCGGAGACGGCGCGCGTCGAGCACGGGCTCGCCGACGTCCTCGAGGCCCTCGACCGCGCGAACGGGACGGACGCCGCGGCGGCGCCTCCGCCCGCGGCGGCGCCCGCGGCGTGCGCGGCCCCTCCCGCGGGTGGCAACGCGACGGTCGTGCGCTTCGGCGCCGTCGACGAGTCCGGCCTCCGCGTCGCCGGGCGGGGCTGGGGCCGCGTGCTGGCGAAGTGGCGGTGCGCGAAGCGGATGAAGATCGCGGTGCTCGGCGGTTCCATGACGTGCGGCGGCAACCTCGCCAAGTCGGACGAGGACAAAAAGGGCAAGGCCTGGCCCTCGCAGCTCCTGGCGAAGCTGCGGTCGAGCCTCGGCGCGGGCGTGAGCCTGCACAACGCCTGCGTGCCGGCGTCGTCCCTGGGCTGGTGCGTGAGCCTGCTGTCGACGCGCGTGCTCGCGGGCACGGACGTCGTCGTCGTCGACTACTCGCAGAACGACAACCGGCCGACGATCGAGGACGCGCGCGAGGGCGGCGCGGCCGTCGACGCGTCCGTGCGCCGCGTCGCCGAGGCCTTCCTCGTGGCCCTGGCGAAGCTCGCGAGGAGCCGGCGCGAGCCGCCGCCCGCCGTGCTCTTCCTCACGACGATCCTGCCGCCCAAGTTCCACATGCCGACGACGAAGCCGGCCTTCGGCGACTGGCGCGCGCTCTGGGCCGACCCGGAGCGGGCCGCGGCCTACGCGGCCGTGCTCCGGGGCCACGCGCGCATCTACGACCGCGTCGCGACGTTCCACGGCGCGTCGTCCTTCGCGCTGCAGGACCACGACGGCCTCTGGCCCGCGGGCGAGCTCCTCGGGAACGCGCGCCTCGCCGAGCTCTGGCGCGCGCCGGCCTCCAAGGGCGGCGACGTCGACCACCACCCGGGCGCCGCCGCGCACGCGTTCGTCGCCGACGCGGCGCACGCGGCGGTGCTCGCGCTCGTGCGGCGCGCGGAGCGCGGCGACGGCGCCGTCGTCCCCGACTGGGCGCCGGGCAACGGCACGCTGTCGAGCCCCGACGAGCTGGCGGAGCTCGCCGCCTGCTCGCTGGGCATGGCCGCGCGCCACGTCGCCGCCGACGCCGACGCCGCGGGGCGCCCGGGCGCCGAGGTCCGCGCGGGCGGCGGCTGGGCCCTGGGTCGGGACCGCCCGGACAAGCCCCCGGGCTGGATCGTCAACGAGACCGCGGCCGCGACCTCCGAGCTGTCGATCGTCGTCCCCTGCGGCAAAGCGAGCACCGTCGGCCTCGAGTACCTCCGGAGCTACGAGCACATGGGCTCCGCGCGCGTGTCCTTCACGACGATCGACGTCGAGAAGGACAAGTTCAACGAGCTCATCTGCGCGGGCGACGACGAGTGCGCGGCCTACGCCGCCGCCGCGCCGAACTCGAAGACGCGCGTGAAGGTCTCGGCCGTCGAGACCGCCTCGCTCAACGCGACCTGGCCCCAGGCCGAGTCCCTCGCCGTCGTCAGGCAGTTCAAGGTCAAGTGCCGGAACTACCGCATGGTGTGGAACCCCGTCGTCGTCAGTTCAAGCTCCTCTCCGCCTTCGCGTGCTAGGGTCCCTTCGAAGACCCCGCAGCACACGAGCGCCATGAAATCCCCACGTTAAAGCACCCATAATAATAAGAAGAATAGCTCCGCAGTCTCGGGAAGTGTCTCCGGAACGAGTAATCACTAAGACTTGAAGGATCATTGAACGGAAAGGTGCACTATTTTCGCCACGCATCGCTTGGGGAAACGAGGCCAAGCGTCGAGCGCGTCGGCCGTCGCGCAGGAAGGAGACCAACTCTCGTCGAGGGCGTCGGCCGTCGCGCAGGGAAAGGAGGCCAAGCGCGTCGAGCGCGTCGGCCGTCGCGCCGGGAAAGGAGGCCAGGCGTCGTCGACAGCGTCGGCCCCCGCGGCGGCGCCGCCCGCCCCCGCGCCGGCGCCTCGGCATGGTCGTCCACGATGGCGAGGTGCCGCCGCCGCTGCTCTTCTTCACGGCCGTCGTGTGCACGTCGGTCATGGCGAACTTCACGCTCCTCGTGCCCGTGTCGACGTACTACAGCGCGACGCTGCTGGAGAGCGGGGTCATCGTGTCGAGCTACGCGGGCGGCGCGCTCGTGAGCCTCTACTTTTGGAGCACCTACGACCGCTACAGCATCCGGCCGGCCTACGTCGCGCAGGCGGCGATCATGTGCGGCGGGAACGCGCTCTTCGCGGCCGTGTGCCTCGCGGACCTCGGCGCGTCGACGACGTTCTACGGCCTCCTCGCCGCGCGGTTCGTCGTGGGCCTCGAGGCGGGCGCGATGTACAACGCGAACCTCGCGCTCGTGGGCTACTCGGCGGCGGAGCACCGCGTGCGCTACCTCGCCATGTACCAGTCGTTCGTCGGCGTCGGCCTCGTGCTCGGGCCCGCGATCTCGAGCTCGTGCCTCGCCGTCGCCGAGGCCCTGGGGTCCGCCGCGCTCGAGGAGTCGCTGTCGGCCGTCGTCATGGCGGCCTGGGGCGCGTGCGTGCTCGCCGCCGTCGCCGCGCGGCTCCCCGACGACGCGGCGCTCGAGGCGGCCTACGGCCGGCCCGCGGCGTCGGGCCTCGACGACGACGACAAGGGCCGCGCGCCCGCGCCGGGCCTCTTCGGCCTCGACGGCCGCGACTCGCTCCTCGGCGAGATCTTTCTCGGGAACCTGCTGCGCATCTACCAGCGCCTCGGCTGGGAGGTCGGCGCCGTCGTCGTGCTCGCGGACAACTACGGCTGGGGCTACATCGCCGCGGGCTACAGCCTCAGCGCCTTCGGCTTCGCGCAGGCCGCGGGCCAGTACGCGTTCGCCGTCCGCGCGGGCGCCGCGGACCCGGGCACGGCGCTCGACCGCCTCGAGTTCGTCGAGGGCCTCGCGATCGGCGCGCTGTTCACGCTCGCGACGGCGGCGGGCGCGATGAGGGGCTTCCTCAACGCCGTCTTCGTCGCCGCGTCGCTCGTCTTCTACCTCGCGAACTGCCTCACGTCCGCGCCCTACAACGCGCTCATCCTCGACAAGGCCGCGGGCCTCGACCGGGAGGAGATGCTCCTCGCGTCGCAGTACGGCATCAACTTCGCGCTCGGCCTCGCGCCCATCGTCGTCCGCGGCGCCATGGAGGCCGTCGGCTCGCCGGGCGACGAGCAGAACACGCTCGCGGCCGTGCTCCTCTGCGGCTGGGCCGCGCAGACCGTGCTCAACGGCGCGCTCACGGGCCGCGTCGCGTCCGCGCTCGTCGCGACGCTCGGCCTCGCGACGGCCGCGCTCGTCTTCTGGGCCATGCTCGACAAGGGCGTCGGCGGCACGGGCTGGGCGAACGTCTTCTCCTGGCACCCCGTGCTCATGGCGCTCGCGTTCTTCGCGGCGATGACGCTCGGCCAGCTCGCGTACAAGGACGACTTCGGCCCGGCGCCGAACGTCAAGGAGGACCGGCGCCGCGTCCACGGCGCACTCATGGCGCTCGCGTTCGTCCTCGCCGCCGCGGGCTACTGCTTCATCTTCACCGCGCACGAGGAGAGCGGCGAGTCGCAGGTCGGCACCGACGAGACCTGGTCGCGCGCGGTCCACGTCTGGATGGGCTACCCGACGCTGCTGTGGCTCGTCGTCCAGGCCACGGCGGGCGCGCTCAAGGCGCGCACGCTCGAGGTGCTCGGCGAGCGCACGTTCAAGTGGCACGGCGCGTCCGGCGAGTACCTCCTCGTCGCCGGCTACCTGACCTCGCTCTGGGGCTTCTGGCTCAAGTTCAACTACCGCGCGCTCGGCGGCTGGAACACGCAGCTCAAGCTCGCGCTCACGGCCCTCACGGCCGCGCTCCTCGGCCTCAAGCTCCTCCCGGCGCCGCGGCTGCCGCCGCTCGTCGACGCGGCCGACGCGGACGCGACGACGGGGCTCCTCGACGCGGCCAAGGAGGCCGAGCGGCGGAAGGCCGCGGCCGCCAAGGCCGAGGCCGACGCGGACCTGCCCTAGGCGCGGGCGGGGGGGGTGAAGTACGTTCCTACTCGGCGGCGCCGTCCCGCGCGATATCGGGGGGGGGGGGCGGGGGGGCCTAGGAGAAGACGGTCGTCCAGACCTGGGGCGCGAGCGCCTCGAGCGCGGCCTTGATCGCGGCCTCGGCCTGCTCGTCGGGCGCGAGGGCGATCATGAGGCCGCCGCGGCCCGTGCCGGACATCTTGGCGCCGGCCGCGCCGGCGCCGCGCGCGGCGAGCACGAGCGCGTCGAGCTCGGCGCAGGACACCGTGAGCTTCTGGCAGAGCGCGTGGTTCTCGTAGAGGCACGCGCCGAGCGCGGCGACGTCGCCGGCGTCGAGGGCGGCCTCCGCGCGCGCGAGGAGGCCGACGTAGGCCTGCAGGAGCCCGTCGAACCAGGCCGGGTCCGATTCGCGCTTCGCGGTGACGTCGGCGACGACGGCGGTCGTCGACGCCGTGATGCCCGTCGACGCGTAGACGACGCGGATGGGCGCCGGGAGCGCCTTCTTCTCGCGCGGCATAAATGAAGTCATAAGTGTTTGGTGCCCGCGCAAGGCTCGCGCGAGAGCCTCGCGAGGCGTCGGCCACGGGCGGCATCGCCACCGCATCGCCGTCCGGTCCCCGGCCCCCGGGCTGGCGACAAGTTTGGCTGACAGACAGCCAATTAACAACAGTGGGTTTCGGGGTTCGCCGACAAGGCGGAGCATGCCCGAGTTTGCCGCCGCTACGCGTCGTGGGCTGCGTGGTCGATGTGGGTTTTGAGGAGGTCCTGGTGGGCCCGGAGGTCGTCGACGGACGCGTCGAGGTCCGCCCGGAGCCGCGCGCACGCGTCCCGGAGCGCGCGGTCGCCGACGGCGCCGGCGCCGTCGCCGTCGCCGCCGTCGCCGTCGGCGGGCGCGACGGGCGCGGCGCGGCCCGGGCAGGCGCCGAGCGCGCGCGCGGCGAGGCCGTAAACGT